CGATTGTGCTGTCATGTGTGAATACCCACTTCGTCGGATGCATGTTCACCCACGAAAGCTCATGCTCCAATATGTCTGTTAGTCTATAAGGTGCCACAGGACTCTTTGCTGCTTTTACAGATCCAGACTAACATGGCTACCCCCCTGATACTGTAAGACAGAGGACACTGGACTAGATGGACCATAGGTCTGATTCACGATGCCATTCCTATGCTGGAAAGGAGACAAGTTTCCCCCATGGAAACAGACATTATCATGCTGGGCTATGACATGGCGCTCAACAGAATGGTCATGAAAGCCACAAGGGTCTTCGTATTTAGGGCTACAGGCCTGCACCTCTGTTGCTTCCCTTCTTTCTTTTGGTGAGACACTTTCTTGCAGGCACCCAGCTTTGTCTGAGACATAAGTTACAGGGGTTAACTGACACGGGTAAGCAGAGAAATGTGTCAGCATCTCCGCTGCAAACCCTTCTCATTCCTGAATATTGATGAAGTTTGCAGATGACACAAACATTGGGGGATTGTAAATAATGAAGAGGACAGGTCACTGATTCAGAGCAATCTGGACTGGTTGGTAAACTGGGGCAAAGCAAACAATAACATAGCTATGTCAATATCTACATAAGGGAACAAAGAATGTAGGTTATCCTTACATGTTGGGGAACTATTGTGGGAAGTACAATGATTCTGAAGAAGATATGGGGATATGAACTCACTAAACATGAATTTCCAGTGTGACCATGTGGCCAAAAGAGCTATATGATCCTGGGATGATAACCAGGGGAATGTCAAGGTGAGGGAGAGAAGTTATTTTACCTTTCTATTTGGCACTGATGCGACTACTGCTGGAATCCTGTGCGCAGTTCTAGTGTTCACTATCTAAAATGTATGTTAATACACTGCAGAGGGTTCAGAGAAGAATCACAAGAATTAGTAAAAGATTAGAAAATCTGCCTTATAGTGATAAACTCAAAGATCTCAATCTATTTAGTTTAACAAAGATGGTTAAGGGGTGACTTGATAACAGTCGATAAGTGCCTACTGGGGAACAAATATTTAATAATAGTCTTTTCAATCTAGCATACAGAGGTGTAGCAGGAGCCAATGGCTGGAAGTTGAAGTTAAAGAAATTCTGAGTGGAAATGAGGCATATTTTTTTTAAACGGTGACAGTAACCATTGGAACAATTTACCAAGGGTCTTGGCGGATTCTTCATCACTTTTTAAATCAAGATGGATGTTTCTCTAAAAGATCTGCTCTAGGAATAATTTTGGGGGAAATCTCAGGCTTGTGTTATACAGACTAGATGATCACAATGGTCCCTTCTGGCCTTGGAATCTACAAAAATGTCCCCAGGAGTCACCTGGAGGTATTTTGCCTGAAAGCTCATGCCTGAGCTTACTGAAGGTGCCTTGAAAATGTTACACTAAGTGTGTATTTCATGAGGCTGAGGGATCCCGTGAGGCACTGAATGAATGAAAGTTTTAGGTGAGAAAAATAATGACTTTACCCCATAAAATCTCCACACTGAGGATGAATGTACCGCCCTCACCATTAATGACTAACAGCGATGGCAAGCAAATGATCCCAGAGCATCCTGGTTTTAAGTCTGTGTCACAGTACCCACTCTCTGAATGACAGTGGCTCCTCCACATGGCATCTGTATTTTGCTAGGCCCTCACATGTCCCAGAGTTTCCCGCTCTCACTATATAATGTGCATATTTCTTAGCTTGCGAGCTGTTCCTTGTAGCAGTTCTTGAAGCACCATGCAGTGTGTAAGGGTGTAACGAGAGAAGCAGCACAGGTGCCTTGGCATTTGCTACTCATGTGTGAGATTTCTCACCAGTGAGACACAGTCACTGATCTCCCCTTATGCCAAGGGAGCAGCTGTGACGGGAAGCACCTCGTCCCTTGCAGAGGAAGTGCTCTGAGGAGTGTGGGTCGGCTTGGAGCTTGTGGGAGCCATGAATGATTGGGGAGCATGGAGAACACACTGGCGACCAGCGTGCTGTTGAAATCAAGGCAGCCTGGGATGGGGAAGGAGACTACAGATAGGGATCCAGAATATGATGGGAGGTTGAAGCAGCTAAGGTGCAAAGGTCACTAGTTCTTTGTGCCACTGAAATGCCTGAAGTTATGCAAATAACATTCAACAACAATTGGAAACAAAAGTGAGAAAATGTTGTGACACCCAGGTTGCTAGTCTGAGGCTTGCCAGGGGAAAGAGACCCTGAGACCTCTCCAAATGCACTTGGGGCCAGGAAAGGACTCAGCGCTGGCCTAGGACTAAGAATCACAAAGAAAAAATACTTTCATCAGCGCTGCCTTCCTGTCCATGTACCTACCGCTTTGTGCCCCCGCAACCCCTAGTGCTGCCTGCCTGTCCCTGTACACCTCCTGCCTGCCCCCACAACCTCCAGTACTGGCCACTTCTCTATGTAGATCGCCCATACCCAGAATATCCTGCCCTGTCACGAAGTGTTACTCTTCAGCCAGGACGAAAACCTGGTGCCATACCCTACAGGGACAGCTCACACAACTATCTCCTCAGACTAAGTTAAACTCAGTGTCTGCCTGCACCAGGGAAAAAGGGGAGATCAGCCTGAACTGCCTTTCTGGGGGCAAAGGGAACCCCAGCAGCAGCTCAGCCTGTGCAGGGAAGAAGAGAGGGACAGACCCGGTGGGAGGGAGATAGGACATGGAGACTAAAAGGAGCCAGCGTGAGTAACTCTTCCTCAAAATGATACAAACCTTTAACGTATTGCTGCCCGTGGGATACCTGGACATACCTTCCTCAAGCTTCTTTTCTGTGTTGGCAATTGCTGACATTGCCACGAGGTTGTAGCGGGATTACTCATGGGACGAGGGATGGTCCAGATGGGGGATGGTATCAGAGACAGGCTGCTACAGTGTGGTCCACCTTACATTTCAGTCTGAGACACCTCCCTCATCCCAGGAGACCTTGTGATGCCTCTTTGGTCTGTGCATTAGGCAGGATGTCCATTCCCTATTTCACCTGGCTTCAGGACTCCACACTACTGTGATTTGGATACTGCATGACTACTTCCCCCCCACCCCCCTCCCACACTGCATTCCTGGACCTCCCCCAGTGAGATTTCCAACATTGCCTGGTTTCCTCTAAGCCAGAAACATGTTTTTATTTTTACTGCCTTTTGGTGCTTCTCATCCTCTCCAGACCCAAAGATGCAGGGGTACAGAGAAAGCAGATCCCTCACTCCCTGAAAAAAATTATCCTGATTGTTCTGAAGCTCTTAGCCTG